ATTGCCGTATATCTCTGTCAGTTTTTGGCGATGAAAAGGAAAACTTATACAGATTCATAATGTGGCTCTCAAATTTTCATTATGTATATCGCGCCCTTTCCTAGTTCCATTTCAGACATTTAGATGGCGTGAAATGTAAGATGGCCAACCAGCAGGAGAAGGCCTACTGCGTGGTGCGATTTGATGTGTCTAAATCCATCGTTACAGTGTGCCGTGTATTTCCTGTACGTTTTCAGTAGGGGGCGCCACACGAAAATAACATTGCAGATGGTACCGGAAGTTTGTGGACAGTGGATGTCTCTGTAAAGGCAAGAGTTCTGGGAGGCCACGTGAGCCACATGCAGACTTGGAAAGATTGAGGGAGATGTATGAGAAAAGCCCAAAAATCATTACGTAGAGGAAGCAGAGAATTGAAAATGCTAACAACGAAGTTATGGAGGTTGCTGCATAAGGGATATTAATGAAACCGTACAAGTTGCATCTATTGCAAGCTCTGAAACCACAAGACAAGGAAACCAGTACTCATTTGGCTTAGGAAATTCAAGAGAAGATGGAAGACGATGGTTTCATGAAACGTCTCGTTTTCAGTGAAGAAACCACTTTTCACGAGTGGGATAGTTAAGAGACACAACGTACGTATCTTGGGTACAAAAAATCCACATGCACAAATTGAGAACGAGCTTGTCTCTCCGAAAATTAACGTCTTACATGATGTCTCTCAACAAAAATGTACGGGCCTTCTTTCTTCGCTGAAGCAACGGTAACTGTTAACACCTACCAAGACTTGGTGGAAAATTGGCTGTTTCCGCAGCTGGCCAATGATTCCAATGACTACATTTTCCAACAGGACGGTGCTCCCCAACATTTCCATCGCAATGTGAGAGCTTTGCTTACACTGGTCTTTCCGCAACCATGGATTGGACTTGCTGCAGGTGAAGATGCCCCCCCCCCCTTCGCCGGTAGCCCCATGGTCAACGCACATAACGCCATGTGATTTCTTCTTGTGGGGGTACGTGAAGAACATGGTTTATGTGTTCCATTGCCCTAATCGCTGTCTTACGTCACCGTGCGTTGCGCGTTACGTCACCGCGGAGGATGGGGGAGGGAGCGCTACGTTACCGCCACGTGCCTTTGGGGAGGTAGGGGTCCTCCGTTGCGCAACACGTCACACTGTTCCCTCCTAAAGGTTGTTCGTCCTGAATAGCCTAACGGTGCTTCCCTCGTTCCTTTTCTTTGGAAGCTGTTCTTGCAGCATCTTCTTTGTGTCCTTCTACTCTTTCTCTTCTCCCCGTTGGTCTGCTCTCCAACCGCTAAATCTTCCCCCTTTATGTGGTTGCTCGTCTCGAGCAGCTCCATGATAAGGCGCGAGCCGGTCGATGTGTACAACCAACATCCTCGACCTAGGGGTCTTCTGGATTCGGTAAACCACATCATGATCCGAGTCACCAATTTGTAAGGGCCTTCCCATGATGCTTGTTGTTTCGGCGATTTCCCCTTTCTGCGGGTTGGGCGATAGAGCCAGACTCGGTCGCCTTCGTCGTAACCTGCAGAGTTGGCCAGTTTATCGTACCGAGTTTTCATCCGGTCACTGGCAATCTTCAGGTGTTGCCGGGCATAATTGTGGATGTCGTGCAGATGATCCACTAAGTCTGCTGCGTAATCGGTTGTGGGTTGTTCTTTGTCAGGGGGTACTCCAAACAGCAGCTCGCAGGGTAGTCGTAGTTCTCGTACGAACACTAGGCCAGCAGGGGTCAGGCCCGTTCTGTCGTGAGTGGATGTCCTGTAAGCTAGGAGAAAGGGGGGTAACCTCTCATCCCAGTCCCTTTGGTGCGATGAGACGACCTTCCGCAAGTGCTCCTCGATGGTCTTGATGTAGCGTTCCACCATTCCATCCGACTCTGGGTGCAGGGGTGTGTTGCGCGTCTTGCTCACTCCCAGGCGGTGGCGGATTACCAGTCACGCTCTAGTACGCCGTTTCTCACAGCGAGCGATTTCCACTGGGCCCAGTAGCTCTTGTACGTGGAACTCCGATCCGCGATGTCCTGCCATTTCGGTCGTTGGCCGTTTTCCACTTCCCGTAGAATAGGCCCTATGTCTGGGTCTATAAGCTGTTCCTCTCTTATGGTAAGAGGGTCCCAGCCGGCTGCCGGTAGGGTTCCAATAACGCGTATTTGCTTTACCTCTGCCCGCGTCTCAACGTTGTGGCAGTGCACACATTGATTTTGCAGGGTCGTCTAGAAAGGGCGTCGACGTTGTTATGTTTCCGGTCCTGTCGATGCTCCGAAGTGAAGTTGTACTCCTGTAGACGCTGTATCCAGCGCGAAATTTGTCCTAAGTTCTTGAAACTCATAAGCCAGGTAAGAGCAGAGTGGTCCGTTCGCAGATGGAACTGTTGTCCGTAGAGGTACTTGTGGAAATGTTCCAGTGTCCTCACTATGGCAATAGTTCTCGTCGGGTTACGCAGTAGTTTCTCTCTGCTTTGTTTAGCGTCTTGCTGAAGTAAGCTATGACACGCTCTTGTCCGTCCTGTGCTTGAGAGAGAACTCCTCCAATTCCGACATTACATGCATCTGTGTCCACAATGAATTTCTTTCCTGGCTGTGGGTAGGCAAGAATAGGGGCAGCACATAGGGCACCCTTTAGTGTTTGAAAAACGCCCTCAACTTCTTGAGTCCACTGGAAGGTTTATTTCTCTTCCGTTAGTCTAGTTAGTGGTTTCGCAATGTTGGAACACCCTGAAATAAATCGCCTGTAATACGCGCATAGTCCCAGAAAGCTTCTAACTTCATGTTTATTCTTCGGGGTCGGCCACTCTCGCACGGCTTTCAAGTTCTCCTGGTCGGTTGATACCCCTTCTGGTGACACAATATGCCCGAGGTACCTGACCTCTTCCTGCAAGGGTTTACACTTTTCCGGGTTAAGTTTGAGACGGGCTTCCCGGAACCTCTGAAACACTTCCCGTAGGTTGAACATGTGCTCTTGGAATGTGCGGCCTATTACGATCACGACGTCCAAATACACAAGGCATGAATCGAACGGTAGCCCTCGTAGGACTGTCTCCATTAGCCTCTCGAGGGTCGCCGGGGCATTGCAGAGGCCAAAGAGCATGACTCTGAACTGCCATAACGCTTGCCCTGTCGAAAACGCTGTTTTCCCTTTGTCGTATGGGTGTACATCGACTTTCCAATAGCCACTCTTTAAATCGAGAGTTGAAAACCATTTGGCTCCGGCCAGCGTGTCCAGGGTGTCGTCAATGCGGGGTAGCGGAATGCAATCCTTCTTGGTGACGTCGTTTAGCTTCCTGTAGTCCACACAGAAACGGAGCTCCCCATTCTTCTTCCTGACCAGAACGACCGGGGACGACCAAGGGCTGTCCGATTCTTCTATAACCCCCTGTCCTCGCATGTTGTTAAGCATTTCCATCACTTCCGCTTGTTTTGCCAGGGGTACTCTCCTCGGTGGCTGTCGAATTGGCCGGGCTTCTCCCGTGTCTATGCGGTGATATACTCTGTTTGTCCTTCCATAATCTTCGTTGTCTTGTGCGAAGATATCGGCGTAGTCGGACACGAGATCCTCTAACTCTTGAAATTCTGCAGGGTTTAGGTGTGGCTTGGCTGCTGTGGTCACGTCCGCTAATTTCGGTGTTAGACCCGGTGCTGGTGGCTGCCCCAACTCGGGCAAAGCCTACGAGTGTTAGTGTGTGATCAACAGTTCTCCAGTCAGCAGTGAACGAGTAAAAGTGACATTTGTGATAACTGAGAATTAATTGCGAGTGTGTGATCAACAGTTCTGAGTTAGTTCCGAGCAAGCCTACGAGTTAGTTCTCAAGGAAGCATTTACGAGTTACCAGCATTTGCAGTGTAGCATTTGTGATACTGCCAATGGCAGTAATTGTGAATCTGTAGATTGTGTGATTGTAAGAGCGAATGTGAAATAAAATTCGCTACATCAAATACGGCGTGAAGTTATTTGGCGCGTTATACACCCAACACGTGACAACTGTTGTCAATGTTTGTAAAGTGTGGAAACCCGTAACATTGTTATAATTAATTGTAGCCGAGATTTGTAGGTTGTTAAATAAACCAATTAACGATCTCTGCGGCGTATTCAGTAACGAAACACGTTACAATATTATAAATGTAGCATATCTTAAATCTTTAGAAACAAGAGTAATCCTATAGAACTGTTGTGTTGACTGCCCCAGTACCCTTAAGAAATCAAAGTTGCTTGTTGAAACTAGGAAAAAAATTAATGGGGGAAATTCATTCTACCATTCTTTTCGAATATTTAACATTCTGATTTCTTGTTTAAAACTCCAGATATAAAAATATACAAAATGTTACTTCTTTATGTGTGCATGTGTGTGTTTCTGAGGTTTCATCTCTGCATTCAGAAATGTGCAGATATTGGGACAGGAGACGTCGAGTAGCCTAGCTATAACCAAGGAAGAGGATGAACAAGGGGAAGGGGGAAATTACGAGTACATCACACCAGAAAGGTGTGATAGGATAATATCGAAACTAATTTTGAAATAATATCAATTTCTAATATTTTTGAACTGCTTTGCAGTAGGGCCCAAATATATAAAAGCGTAAAACAAAGATCAAATTTTTGGTTTCTAAAAATGTCTCAATTTTTGTGATCAGTTTAATAACTATAAACTACATCGTGGAGTTTAGCATTCAGAAAATATCTTTAGTTCGTGTCTTACGTCTTTCCCATACACTTTATAGGGGAATTAAAATTACTCACCACTAAATGTCAACCAAATTTTCGTTGCTTGACCAGTCGATCTGTTACTACTGATTTAACTTTAACTGAAGAAAACCGTACATCAATACGACAGCTGGAGTTTAGGATTCGCCCATATTCCTCTCTCGGTGCACTGTCGGATCGGTTGGAACTATTTTATTTCGCGCTATCTAAAAGTCGTATTAATGTGCCTCGAGTCAGCAAAAACCGCAATGTATACCTCCTCGGTTGATTGAACTCACTTCGTTAAACCTCAAAGGCTCAAAGGTAGTCCAATAGTCCAATACGTAACTGCGTATTTGAGTAGATGACGTCCAGCTGGCTAGACGTGTTCTGATATACGCAACCTGTGACAAAAACTGAAGAAGTATTTAAGGTAAGTTTATCTTAGGACACTTAGCGATATTTTACATTTAATATTATACAGCACATGGGCAATCGTGGAGATTTAAATAACGTTTAAATTAAAATAATTATTTATTCATTTGTTTACCCAACAGCCCAAAAACCAATTATAGTGTAAGAGGGAGCAAAATAAGGAAACACACTAGCAACAAAAAAAAAGGCAAAATAATTTTATTTGAAATAGTTCAATTCTATTTCTCAATTCTTTGTTTATTTACGTTCTTACTTGTCAGCTCAAAGTCAAATTATAAAGTAAGCATGAGCAAAGAGACGAACAAAGTAAACAACTTTTCACAAACAAAAAACAAAAACAATGCAATGTATGTCATTTAGCCGGCATCAATTCCAGAAATATACACATGTATTAAACTTGAAGAGAATTAATATTTTAATAATTACCGGTAATAATGAAGAAAAAAATTATCAACTAATACTAAGAGACACAGATTTGGTTCCAGATACGTAAATGTCCCTGCAACCAACTTCATCGGATGAAGAAGAACAATCTTTTGCTCGAGGAGCAAAAAAAGAACATCGAAAATACTCTGCTTTATCGAGCAGGAGCTGGAGGACCAAGAGTTTCCAAAAGAGGGCAGATTTTGAATCCAAGGTAAACTTGATTAAGTATCATTGTATCTAGCAGAAGCATGTGTGCAATTTTACCTGCTCTAGAGCATACGAAATATTGAAATGTACACGGGGAAAGAAACTATTGAGACAGGGGCTTCGTGTTTATCCTGCATGCCTTTAGTTCGTTAATATAAGAGAAAAGAATTCAAATTGAGACTGAGTAAAGCAAGAAAGGACACTGCTCCGGGACAAATAAGAGAATCGAAGAAATAATTTGCCATACTGCGAAGTCTGTATATAAATACCAGTAATGAAAGTAAGTCCTACGGAATAGCGGGTTCCTATCAACAAAGTTTCGAGGGTCCAATTGGCCTTTCTCCTTTAGGTATATGCCTGCATAAATTAATGCTATGTCCAATAATTACGATGATATAGCCAGCTGTTTCTACTGTTTTATCTTTATTATTTAAGCTAAATGTGTTTTATTCAATTCTAATTCTTGCATCCATAATTTGGTGTTTTAGTATATATCTATTCCACCATATTTGTGGTAATTTCCTCTCTGCACTTCATATACTTTGTTGTTTCTCTGTCAGTGTCCATATTACAATGCTCCATATTGATGGTGGAATGGCAGTAATTTTATAAAGTTTATCCTGCTTATCTTCTACTTCTTATTGGTATCACACTTTTTATTGTCGCAGTTTACAAGCCGGAAGGTCGAGGGTTCAAGTCCCGATGAGGTCATTGGATTTTTTTCAATTGACCTAATCCTTCCGGCCACACTAGGCCCCGGGGGTTTACTCAGCCTCTAACAGAAATGAGTACCAGGAATTAATTAAATAATTTTCCTGGGAAGTGAAGCGCGGCCGGCGCGTAAAGCTGACAACCTTACCGCCATCTCTGAGCCAATTGTCTAGATAATGTGGGACCCTCAACGTCTCACAAACCTATGGGCCTTCACGGCCTGTTACAGGGATAGCTTTACTTTTACTTACTTTATTTGATTAAATTAATTTTAACCATAAATCTTTATTCTAAGATAGAAATATTATATGTTAAATAATATGTGCTGAAGGATGTGTAATGTATAAAAATAAAATCGAAATAAGAGAAAATACAATACTTCTTACACGATGCGTAGTTCCGTTAATATTATATCTCCATATAAAATTTCACATACGCAGCCCGGGCGGCTCCTTGTACATCATCATCATAAATTTCAAAGCTAAATCAGATTTTGTACAATAACCCTTTTTGTGTTTTACATTCTGTAGCGATAATTGCCTATTTTTAATGACCTAAATTTGTTCCGCTTTTTGCCGTCTATCTCACCTTCAGACGGCAAGAAGTGGAACACAAGGCCAGATCCACACAGGGCAGCGGGATGGGGCAATTTATTATTATAATGATGTGATCGATCTACTTACAACATTTAACAATTATTCGACGCTACACAGTCTCTACAGTGACAGCGTCGTTAAACAGCAGGCTTCAAGTAAAATAATGACAGCTGAGTAGCACCGTTGCCGCTCCTGTCTCGGGTGTTAAAGTGACCACCGTGTTGTCATTGCCAATTGAAGGAAACTGGAAAATAGGAAGTTGAAGTGGTCTCAAATAACATAAATTCCGTGAATATCTGCCAATTGGTCTAAACGTTTCAGGCAGAGGGGACAGGGGACACGAAGGGAACATATTAAACACATAAGTGTTTAAATACAAAATATTACATTAAATTAATGAAAACACTCCGATACAGAATTTTTTAAAATGTAATTAAATTATAATCAGTGGCACTTTGCTTCCTTCGGCGTTGTATACTTGCCACTTTCAGAGTTTCCGTTTCAGCAAGTAAGCCATTAAAATTTATGTATCACGTTATTCGACTTCCTGCAACGAGTAACAGAAGACTTCATATGTGGAGGCCACGTCTGCTCATCCGTCCACCGATGATGTAAATCAGCTCCTAAAGTCTGGACAGCTTGGTTTCAGATTCATCATTGGACGCTTTCACTAAAAGATGCTGAGCAATTCCAATTTTCACCCATATTAACCAGTAAAATAGCTTACTGCACGTAAGGTCATATGTAAACCTTTCCGTGTTTGTCATATATCGTTAATAGAATTCTCGTAGACTTAGACGTGTTACGTACGTTCATTTTGAATTTTCAGAAATATACAGGATATTATTAAGTATGCTTGCATAAGGCAATAGGCCGTGCCATGACTCAGGAGATCAGTCGCCGACTTCCCACCGCGGCGGACCAGGTTGGAGCCCAGGTCACATCATGTGGTATTTTTGGTACACAAAGAGGCACTGGGGCAGGTTTTCTCTGAGTACTTCGGTTTCCCCTGGTAATTCTCATTCCACCGATTGCTCCACACTCATCATCTATCATCCGGGACTTGTACAATAGGCCAAATAATGACCAATGAACCAAGTGGACTCAGTGTCACACTGTCTCAAGAAACTAAAATAAATAAGGCTTAATTTGTCTTTTCTTATGTAATTTGCTGTAATTCTCTTTCTCCATTTTGCTCTTAAAATGTGGAACCTGCGTTTTTCACTGAGATATTTTTGGAATATCTCTTCTAAATGGAAAAATAAAAAGAGTAGAGATGGCCCAAGGTAGGTAAAGTATATATTAAATATAATTTCTGGATAGAAACCGGGATTACTTAATAGGTATAGCGACTGGCCACGTACTGGACGACCGAGGGGTCGGAGTTAAAAGTCCCGGTAGCGTCAAGAATTTTCTCTTCTCCACGTCATCCAGACCGGCTCTGGTGTTCACCAAACCTCTTATCGACTGGGTGCCGTAGGCTCTTTCCCCGGTGGTAAAGCGGACATAGCGTGAAGCTGACCACTCCCCGCCAGCTAGTGCCGAGATCAGGAGAATGTGGATATATACATCCACTCCCCCTTAAGCCTTCGTAGCATAGTGCTTAATTAGTTAAGTCAAGGGACGACTTTACAACTTTACTATTGGGACAATATACCAAACAAATGACATATTATGAAAACGAGAATATATTATAGAAGAAAAATGAAAGAAATCGATTCGTGAACAGAACAGCAATGATAAGGCCAGAGGCTTCACTTTAACGATGTCTCCTCATCAAGTAAAAATGTCCCTCTGCCAGATGTGCTTTAGCCGCTAATGTAGTTTGCAAGGATATTGAGGTACTTCGATTCTTCGTCATCTTAAAATATTGTAACGTGTATTAAGTTAGATTCTAAGCGTTCTGACGATAGTGGATGACACATAAAATTACTGAGTTTTGGGACTTTTTCCATCGACCGGAATTCTAGGTAATAAAGTACACGACGTTTTGGAAACTGGATATGTTTTCGTCTTCAGATGAGAAAGGAAGACGCCTACTCAGTTGGGTCCCTTAGAAAGAGCTAATCTCAATCACAATCGTCCAGTGATTTCTTTCTCACCTGAAGATGGAAACACATCCAGGTTCAAAAACTTCGTGTCCTCTATTATCTAGAATTCCGGGAGCTGGAGAAAGTAAAAAACCCAGAAATTCTGTGTGCATCGGACTGCTGTGCGTGACTTATGAGACGAATTTTGGATGTGGTAATTGACTCTGTTGCGCCTTACATATTCACAACTCGGGATTACTAGCAGTAGAGCGCTATCGCTGTTCTACACACTTTCTACTTCACCGTGACACACGCACTAATGTTCTCCGTCTTCACTAGCCGTATCCAAGCAACGAATTTGTAACAGTCTCCTACTTTGCACCACCCCATTCCTTTCTTGCCATTTATTCTCAGTCACCTTCGAATGAAATTTCCAGAACTCGACATCAACTCACTCAAATGCACTCTTCTTCAGCGGAACTCCATCAACTTCTTACAACAATTCACTACTCCCTTGGAACTTCTCATTATATATCCTCGAGGCGGATCCAATGGAAAACGTCTTTTTCTATTGTCCCGTATTATTTTAGATGTGTTTACTGATCTGCTGCCTAGTAACAGACGTCCTATTTTTGGCCCGCGTTGGCTCCCTTGGGAATGTGTTTACCGATTTGTTCCCTAGCAATTGGTCTCGCCACGGGCAAGACAGAAAACAGTTACGTGATAGGTACCGCTATTGCCTGACGCCGTGTTCGCCGATAGCCTAGCAACACTGTCGGGAGTTGTTTACTGTTGCATAACAACCGCGTCATCTCTTGGTCACGTCACCACGGGAGGTGGCGGGGTGTTGACGGGCCTATTACCGTAGCAGCGGCAACGCTCCAAAAGTGTTACGTCACCGCTGGCGGGGGAGGGCGTGTCCTGAATAGCGCAAATACGTCACAGTATTACATGTTGGTATATTTAAAACAAACTGTTTCATTCAGTCATATTTTGTGTTAGCCATGATATTTCGACCGCCTCTGTGGTCTAGTATTCAGATACAGAGAACCCGGGTTCGATTCCTGGTGCTTCCAGTTTTTCTGAGAAATAGTGGATCTGGAACGGGAGCCACTCAACCTCGTGATGATAATTGAGGAGCTATTTCAAGGTAATAACGGCTCCGATATAGAAAACCGAGATTAACGGCCGCGGGTATCCGTTGAGCTGACCACGTGACAACCTCTCTCTGTAAAAGTTGGCATTAACTTCGCCGACAAGCGGCAGTCGCTCTGTCGGTATAGTTCGCTTGCAGACTACAGGCTACGGGGTTTTGTTTGTATGGTTCTTCCAGCCATTAAAATATTACGTTCATTGTACTTGTACATTCTTAAGTATTTGCCTCCTGTTGTGTATACAGATTGAGGGATTTTCTGACATCATATAACACGTTTGTTTCTGTTATACTACCAGGATCAAAATTATGGTGGCAGCATAAATCCCTAAAAGTAGATACACTTATTTTACTGCACTCTCTTATTAATTATAAGTGCGATCGTATATTTAGTTGACCGAAATATTAAGGAATTTTAATATACGACTAAGCGATAGATCTCTGATAACATTACGATTAAGGTACAGTGTGTTCCGTTTAACACCCCCACATTTAAATTAATTACTGCGACAAATTGTGATAAAATATTCATTACAATTAACACTAGATGAATGAAAAACTCGAAGAACTTTATATCCTCCTTTCTCTGTTCAANCTACCACTTGAAACGTGAAAAGGTCTTGGAGACCGAAATTTGGTTTTGGGTAGGACGTACCAAATTAAAGAGACTATCACAAATATATCAAATGAATATGTATATATTAAATAACAAATACAAATACAACCTAAGTACCTGGAGGTAATAAGCCTCCAAGAATCACAATCGTACCGACCAGAAAAGGTGAATTGACTGCACAGTTCAGGGTCCCACAACAGAATGGATCACTCGCGTTGGACCTCAGCAGACGGGAATCAGGAAGTGGAACATTGGAAGGGGTAAGTAGTAAGAAAGGGGGTGGGGGACACCCTCTGACGTAACGTAGACCCGGCGTTACAAGCTACAGCAACTGGCCGCGTATACCTTGACATGTTAGAACAGTTCCTGTATCCCCGGGTAGCCCATCTACAGCCTAACATAATCTTCCAACAAGATGAAGACCCCCACATTCAGGTTTGAATGTTCCGAGGTTCCCCAATTCCACCTTCCAAGATCGCTGGACTGCATGTGGAGGACCAATTCAGTGGCCACCACGTTCACAGGACCTCATTCCACTCGATTTCTTCCTCTGGGATTACGAGAAGTACTGAGTGTTCGTGACTGCAGTAAATGACCTCCCAGATTTACGAGCCTGCATCCGTGAAACGATTGCGACTGCACCAATGGACATGTTAGAAAGAACATGGCAAGAAATTGAACACAGATTGCATATTGTTTGTGCTACAAATGGTGCTCATGTAGAAGTTTATAAGTGTGTCAAATAAAGCTTTTGAGTTCTTCTTGTTTTTCCTGTAGCTTCATTTGCCAACATTCATAAAGGGGATTGACAAAAATATGGAAACACCTCGTGAAATACATGCTTGAATTGAAATGTTTATATTAGGGACGTTTGTAGGTCACGCTGTCGTATCTGCCCAACACCACTGCCTGTACAACTTCCGCAATACGTTGCAAGCTTCATTTGTTGTCGAGACAGTGTTCTGTACAATTTTAGGCCACCAGGACCATCCCATGGTGCAAACTTTGTTCCCTAATGATGATGCCATTTACAAAGCCAACAATACCCGTGTTCACCTAACTCACATCGTCCAGGACTGGTTTTCTGAGAAAGAAGATTAAGTGTCCCACCTGCCATGGCCCCCACAATCGCCAGGTATCAATATTATTGAGCCTTTGTGGTCTGTTTTGGAGAGCAATCTGCGTGTGTCGCTATCCATCTCCATCATCGATAACGAACTTACAATGTTTTTCAGGAAGAATTGTACAAGATTCCCTTGCAAATCATACAGGACCTCTATTTATCCATTCCAAGTAGACTGCAAGCACTTTTGCAAGCCAGAGGTTGTTCTACACCATATTAATCACGGTAATGTGTTTTGTGTTGGGTGTTTCCATATTTTTGTCCACCCCTGTACATTCTGTTAAATGATCTGATATAACGTGGGAGATTTGAATAGAACATTCTGCATAATAGTAATCATTTCAACGCTGATAATTCATTCGTGGATCACAGTTAGGGGAACACCCTTAGCAAATTAGTACAACTTGAAATTTTAACATTAGTCATGATGTCAGTCAAAATTACCGTCGTATCCTAATGAGTCTGTTTCTATTTCAAATTTCAGATTTCTTTTTCAACATATACAATAAATCCGTTGTGGTGCCCCAACCTTATGGAAGTCAACAACAGTGATACAATGGATAATGGAGTCCCTACCAATTTGTCCCACTCAGCCAAGCACCCACAAACTGATACGGACACAGACAGTCCACTTCACTCTGCTGTCCAGCATGGTCATCTGGATCTGATTCGTCTGCTAATTGAACAAGGGGTCGACGTGGATACCCGGGCCACGTTTCGTGAACAGACGCCAGTGCACATGGCAGCAAAACTTGGGAAATTCGAGTGTCTGAAGCTGTTGGCAAGTTATGGTGGAAGTTTGACATCCTTGGACGGCACCGAGAAGGGATTTGCGCCGATACATTTAGCAATTTTAACGGGCAACGACGCAATTGCCCTGTGGCTCCTTGAAAATGGGGTGTCAGTGAATACGGAAAGTAGGGCAGGAATAAGTCCGCTGTTCTGTGCTATACGATGCCGCAATACCCAGCTGGTTAAAGTCCTTATAGAAAAAGGCGCCGATGTCAATGCAAAAATTGTGAATATGGATGGCATTACGCCATTGCATTCTGCAGTGTTGGTTAAAGATGTGGATATTTTTAAAATCTTACTCGAGAATGGAGCGGATTTCACAGCTTTCTGCAACTTCCGTAACCAGACAGTAATTCACTCAGCAGCAGCAGCTGGTAACTTAGAAATGTTCCTTACAATGGTTCGATATAATGCTGATATGTCTGTACAGACAAATAATGAAAAAGGGGATAGACCAATTCACTTGGCTGCCAGTATGGGCCATGTCTCTATCGTAGAATGGTTAATAGAGAATGGGATATCAATGGAAATTACAAATAAAGAGGGACATACACCTTTACATAGGGCTGCTTTTCGTGGGAAAATCCGTGTCGTAAAATTGTTATTAAAGAAGGGCGCGGATGTGAATATTCGCACTAAAAACAAGGAACGCAATACAGCACTACATCTGTCTGTGATTGGTGGACATGCGCAGTTAGTAAAGTTGTTCCTTCAAATGGGAGCGGAGATTGATGCTGAAGATGGAACTGATAATATGTACACTGCGATGCACTACGCAGCACAAAGAAATGGGTTGCTTTGTCTGATCGAGCTGCAACGTTCTGGAGGCAACATATATATGAATGTAGATTCTAAGAATGGCGAGGCGCTCATAATTACAGCCGCAAAATATGATTCTGTGGACGTAGCGGAATGGTTACTGGACAGGGGAATCCATTTAGATATTCGGGGAAAGGGAGGACGGACTCCTCTTCATTATGCCGCATGTAATGACAGTCCAATGGTAACCATATTACTCCTTGACAGAGGAGCTGACGTCCATTCACAAGACGATGAACTCAGGACACCCCTCTTCTGTGCAGTACTTAAACGGCATGCCGAAACAGCAGGGCTACTGCTATACGAAGGAGCCGATGCATACACCGAAAACATTGATCATTTAAACGCTTTTGACTGTGCAGCCATGGTAGGAGGATTACGATGTTTGAAGGTACTGTTGATTGGGAACACTGTGAAGTCCGGTGGAAACAAGTATGGAGATTTTCCAATTCATTTCGCAGCTGCGTACGGGCATCTGGACGTTGTTGACTGGTTAATTGACCGTGGATCAGCGGTGGATATCCGTAATAACATGGGAAGTACACCACTGATCAATGCTTCATGGGGTGGGCATTGTAATGTGGCCAGAATGCTTCTCGACAGAGGTGCAGATGTCAACGCTACAGTCGAAAAAGCAGATAACAGATCAGTTATTCACTCTGCATCATTCTCTGGGAATGCACAGCTGGTTGAACTTCTGTTAGAGAAAGGCGCTACTGTCAATGCACGTACCAGCACAAATAATCGTACACCGCTTCACTGGGCGGCTCAAGAAGGTCACCTGGATATAGTCAGGCTACTTATTAAGCACGGAGCAGATGCCACTGCCCAAGATATTTATGGACTGACTGCAGAGGGTGTTGCTTTTTCTAAAGGCCGTGCCGAAGTCGTGTCCTTCTTCTCATCTCTGAACCAGTGACACTCTTTAACTTCAGGAGAAATAATACAACCTATTAAAAGTTTCATATAAATTATTTCTCCGAAATTTATTTAGTCAGTCCCGATCTTGGAAATTAATGAGTTTTCTGTCTACCTGTACGTGTTCATTGTTCTTTTCAAGTTAACTTAGAAAGGGATGCTCTTTATAATAATACTAAATTATTAAGTTTATATCACTGATAATGCCATATGTCACAGATCTGCAATGACTGCGGTCAGGTTATAAAACCATATATATTGTAACGTGTCTGGAATCCAGAAGTCACTTCTATGGAAACGCTAGAACAGACCGTTGCATAGGAAACAACAATCGCTCTATTGTAGTTCTAACAGGAGTCTCCACGATTATAACAGAGGGTTCGTTTGCATAGCAGCGGCCGAGGTTATAAAACGGGGTTGAATGTATTCGAACAGTTAGTCTGGATCCAACCGCCGAAGAAGAGAGTCACGGATTATTCGCCAAAAAAACAGTCTGTTATAAGGCGCCGAAGAAGACAGTCCAGTATTGCCGAGATATTGTAAGCAGTAATTGTAACACTGCTAGAGCTGATGATTGTAAGGTGTGTGAGGTGAGCGAGAAGAATAAATCCACTATATCAAACACGGCCTAAAGTTATTTGTAGCGTGACACACAAAACACGCTACAATATATTCTGTACCGTTGTACTATCAGTAGTATCATTTCTCCTGTAGCTATATTTCATGTTAGGTACAACTAATAATATAGTTTCAAATGCAGATATCATATATCCACTTTAATTATTTCATTTTTTCTTTAGATATATTCAAACCTATTGCAAATATTCAGAATGATGCAATTGCAATAGGAATTTGTATCGACGCATTGAAGCCGTCGACACAACAACGAAGTGGATTTTTTCATTTTAATAAAATCGATTAAAGTACATACAATATAAGAAAGGTTTAATAAATTTTGTCACAATCAGTCAGCCACAGTGCCAGCCAGCAGCATATGTAAAGCCTAGTCATAGCGCTTCAGGCTAAGAAGATTTCGGGGTACAATATTCCCAGGACAGCCGGGTACTCCAGTTGTCTCCGAGGAGGTGCAGATTTCGTAAACGGTTTTGTAAAGTAAACATTGAGGTATAAGGAGGAGGTGAACTCCTCTGCACTGAATCTGAGCTTATTATTAAGAAAATTATTTGTACTTAATTTTGGATAAGTTACGTTACAATTATGCCAGAAATGTGCACCAGAATTAATATTAAAAAGAGAAAGCGTGTACGCAGGTATTCATGTATACATAAGAAATTGTGTGGAAGAAACATGTAAATGTGCGTGACTCTTGTGTGTTGTAGCGAACAAAAGAGTAGACAAAACTTCTCCCTTCCCATATATTCATTACGTCTTCATGCCCACACACATTTTATTTCTGTACCCTTCTTCGAAATTTGTTGCTACTTAAAACAGCAAAATGATTACTGCTTTGAAAATTATGGGGTAAAACATTTACTAATAAGTACAATAGCGTTCATAGGAAACCATGGCGTATGTGTATAATGCATTGTATGGAAATACGTGATTCAAGTTTCATCATCATCAGTAATCTGTCAGACGACAGGTCCACAGTCTCTTCCAAAACAATTCCTCCACTTAATGCGATCTAGAGCTTTCTCCTTCAAATGATAGTATTCTCTTCTGTCCCCAAGGTCGTCCAGCATCTTCTTACGTCTTCTTCCTCGTCTTCTTGTCACTTCTATCAGCCCATCTATCTTTCCTTCGATAGCTTCTTTTAGAAGGCAGTTTCTGCGTAAAACATGACCAATCCAATTAGCCTTCCGTTTTCTTATTTCATGTAGGATATTCCTCTGCTCACTGACTCTAATTAACACTTCTTCATTTCTCACATAATCGGTCCAACTGATCTTCTCCATTCTTCTCCAACACCACATTTCGAAACTTTCCAGATGTTTCTGATCTACTGCCCTAAGTGTCCATGTTTCAGCCCCATACAGAGCTATGCTCCAAATGTAGCATTTCACTAGTTTCTTCCTCAAATTTAAGTCCAATTTGCTGGTAAAAAGATTCTTCTTCTTGCTAAATGCAGCTTTTGCCATGGCAATCCTGGATTTAATTTCACAAGTACACCTTCCATCATCTGTTAACAAGCTACCCAAATATTTAAAACATTTCACATTCTCCACTTGTTTTTGGTCTATCTTTATTGTGACTGGGGTTGGTTGTCTCGAAATTTTCATTACTTTTGTTTTCTCCACATTCATTTCCATGCCATAGCACCTTCCAATTTCAATTAGTCTATCAATCATGCCCTGTAGCACAGTTTCTTCCTTAGCCATTAACACAAGGTCATCTGCATATTTCACAGTTTGAATAATTTGCCCTCGCAATTTGAAGTCTCCGAGCCCATCCAGAGCTTCCTTGGTAAGGCATTCGCTGTACAAGTTGAACAGAACTGATGATAAACAGCATCCTTGTCGAACTCCTCTTCCAATCTGCACACTTCTAATCTCTCCACTGTCCAATCGTACTCTAACTTTCTGATCCATGTACAATTTGCTGATCAATATTCTTTCACGCCAATCGACACCTCATTCTTCTTCATTTCCGTTTTCAAATTCTCCAATTTGCCTGCTTGATTCAAGGTCCTTACATTCCATGTTCCAATCTTGTAGCCATGATATTTCTTCTGATCTTCGCACTTTTTCTTGTTGTAACGCCCGCATGACATTTCCTCTAGAAACACTCCCCCCCAGAGATCCGATTGGGGGAGTAGTTTACCTCCGGATTGTTTTTTCTCCAGAGGAAACATCTCGCATACATGGTGTCTCTGTTTTTGGAAAGAGACTATCCAGGAAAAGTGATAATGTGGTAGTTTTTCCATTTGCTTTCCACATCGCAGTACAACAGCCGTTCAAACCACTGTGGTCACGCCTGTTGCTATACGAACTTGAACCATCTCGAGCATCATTTGTTCTGTGCTTCAAGTCGCTACTGATGACGCTGCTTCCGGCATCAGTTTTTGGTGTCTCTCTTCGTCTGATACCTACCCTTTGGACTGTCCAGCAAGGGAGGCTCTACCAGTAGCTATGCTACCGCTGGTATAGCTCTCAGGGTCCTTGGCATATTCAAACCCCCTCACCATGATAAGGTGGAGACACCAACGAACACAGCAAAAAAGTAAAGCAATGTCATCAAAATAATATTTTATAGAAATATGTTACTACAAACAAACGCGGTACCGAAAAATTTCTCTTTTAGAAAACTGCTAAAAAATATGCTGGAAAACGGGGTGCCTGTTTTCACCAGGCTCAATATTGGCATGAGTCCCCTGAATTATTCTGCTGATAACGTCAAGAGAGAAATGACATTGTTGCTACTTGAAGCAGGAGCAGGTGTCAATTGCAGTGATAAGAGGTTTGTAAGGCCCCTACATTACGCAGCGTAAGGAGGAAAAGTGGATATTGTAGAATGACTGTGAACGCTAGGTTACATTTTTCGTATTCAATTGGGTACAGGGAAGTGGTACAACTTCTTATCGAAAGTGGAGCGAATATTAATGCACGCACCAGAGCGGGTGGACAAACGCCATTGCACTGGGCGGTTGAATTTCAACGCGATTCAGTAATTGAGACCCTCACCCGTTACGGTGCAGATCTGAGCGTCAAAGATTGGCACGGTCATAGAGCTGCAAGCTTGGCGGCAATGGATGTTACTTCCGTGCCTATCAGTTCCTTAAGATCACGTGTGGTGAAAATATATGTCTACATTTGTGTGATGTTATTATGTCTCAATACATATATACATGTACAATAGGACACACTTTTCGAGGCAGAGGCAATGCTCTTTTTTAGACAATATCTGAACTGCGTTCAATATAAGTACATGCCCTTACTTTGATTTTAGCTTTTATTAAGAATAAATTCATGCTTTCAAAACTTATTAGATATGTCAAATATTTTCGTACAATAAATACGATTTTGTAATGTCCGTTTTTATTGTGTATTGTGCATGTATAGACATATTGTCACGTGTTGTGTATATGACGCTACAAACAACTTCACGCCGTCTTGTATGTAGCGAATTTATTGTACACTCGCTCTTACACTTACACAATTTACAGTGTCTCAATTACTGTCATCTTGTGTAGTCACTTCCTGGGTTCAACTGTTTTGAATCCATTCATTCGATACAACTTAACAACAACTCGTGGCTGCTGGACTTCACCTAACCTCATCTCTTCGAAGGCTGGAAACCGAAGGCTAACGCTCAACTGACTCCGACGAATGCTAGACTTCCACTCTCCTCCTTAGACCAAGTCCAAGTAACATTGCGACTGACGGTCAGTCAATCAGTCAGTCAGTATTGGTATCGAGCACCCTCCTGGGGCCCATGACCAGATATTTATTGCTTCTCGACTGTTACCTTCTTGTTTCTGTGGGGCACCCTCTCTCACGAGAGGACGGGTCTTCCCTTTTCGTCACCTCCTATGACTTGCAAGGTCCCGGTGAAGGTATTAGACCCCTCCTCCACCCGGGGTACTCGTCCTCCTTAGGCATCCAGTTTCTCTTATAAACCTTCGGAAGGACAGCGGAAAACGCACCTCGCTTCCCTGTTGCGTAATCGCCGTGTTTACCGATTGCCTAGCACAGCCATGTCAAACATGCGACCCCCATAGCCACAAAGTGCGGCCCATCAACTTTTAGAGCTAATTGATATTAAAATCAATATTAAAATTTTAGTAGAAATATTTCTTCTAAAGACAATTTCCCGACAGACCAGAAGACAAGAAGTCTTACGCAGACATAAATTATCAGGCTGCAGGAACAGAGATTCTGAGAATTGCAGAAGGGTTTGTCCAACTAACGGTTTGTAAAGTTCATGAAGGACTAACTATTGTATTTCAGAAGGTTAATGCACTAAAATCCGCACAGCCTGACCACCCGAAATATTTCCAAGAATCCCTTTTGGAGGCATACTAAGAATACAAAGAGGGTGGCAAATGACAGACAAGTGCAAGGGATTTCTACCTTCAAAACTAGCTTGCAAACCCCAGCCATTGTCTAATGGGCTGCTAGCAAACTTGTCATTCAGTTCATTTCCACACAGCGACAGGTGCTGATGTTACACTGTGATGAACGTGTATAAAGGTTACAATTAAACAATAACAATGTCGCTTTCAAAAAATTCAAGTAGCAAAAAAGAACTATTGAAAGTGAGCGCCGTGTTTTTAAAGAAAAATGGGAAATCGCTTATTTTTGTTGTGAAAAAGAAGGTAAAATTACATGTTTGATTTG